CATAGCACAGCGTACTTGTACTGTTTCCCCATATGTGTCTAGTAAGACGCAGTACGAGTGAAGTATCGAAAGGGAACATATTCGGTTACTATCATAACCTCGGTTCCCTGAGATACGGGAATGAGTACTGCGTTCCTTGCCGTGCCATGATGCAGCACGACCCGGTGTTGTCGCTTCAGTCGAATTGACCTGAGATCCTATGGCGAAATGCCCACTTATATAGCCAGATGGCCCCGCCCATTCTGGCGGGCTTCGCCGCCTTAGGCTCGTGCAGCACCGCTGCCGAGCCATTGGTTTGTTTTATAATCACTGCACGAACTAATGGCCGTGCAGTTACACTGCGTGATTGAATAAGACTTCAGTCCTCGGAGAAAAAGTTTTTCTCCATGAGCGTCTTGCGACGCAGTACTTGTTCCCGTATCTCAGGGAACCGAGGTTACGAAAGTAACCGAGTACGTTTTTCTGCTTTAAAAAAATCATGTTTAATTCAGCGTGTTACTTGCCATGTCTCATTATTTGTGAAATTTACTAGCAATTTCTGAGTTAATTTTTTTCCTACACCAAATAATTTTTTTTTCAGTGTAGAGTTATTTCTCAATTAAGTTAAATGATTCAAATATTTACTGATGTGCAAATTGTATGTTAGTGTCATTTATGTCACAATTTAACAAAGTTTTAACTTATGCACAGCTGGTGCAACCAGCCTTTGGAGAAAGTGTAGAATGTCAATAAAAACTAAAATACGAAAGGTAAAATTACTCATGCAACCAAAACATTTGAGGCAATGCACATAGACATCCGCTGACCAATGAGAATTTCAGACACGTCTGTCCTAATTTGCTGTATTCCTGCTTTGTTTCAAACTGAACAAGCATTTTTATACCCTCAAAACATAACCTGCACATTCATATGCATCAAAAGCTTTCTTTAGTCTGCAAGCACCCTTAATAAATGACCGTTTAAACGTTATGAGGAAGCACCGATGAAATGGTCACCAGATGGCCCATAACTGCTGAGGAGAAACCTGCACTCCTGATAATGAAGAGACACAAGACCCCCTGTAGTTCCTTTCGACCATCAGGTTTTGACCTGCTCAGCTGAATCACCTTATTGTGTTAAATAAATTACATATGATGCTCTATCAATTGAGCAATACAATGACAAGCCCTTCCGTCTGCACGAGCCATTATTTTATTATTTTGGATCGTTAAGAGAGGGGCTGTCTGGGAAAGGGGTTGGGTCAGCAGTCTATTACAGCTGATAGATTCTGCATCTCAGTAAATTGATTATACAATGTGATGAATGGACACTGAAACACTCAGCAATGAGGAAAACACACGGGACAGGAGCAATGATGTCATCAGGGAGGGTGGGGAACATGGGAACAGACTGTTCCGTTAGAATCTGAGTCCTGGAAGGCTCCACGGCACAACAGACGCGCAGTAATTTATTCTCTACAATCTCTCATCCTAAAGTCAAGATATTCTCTAATGTGTTCATCAAGGGGTGAGGTAGGGTTTGCATTCGACGCCAGGGTGTGAATTAGCACTTTGCGGATAGGGGAGGTGCATTACACCGATCTTGCCAGTGGAAAGTTATGAATTTATAATCATGCACGGCCATCTAATCTAACCAGTTGCCTGGAAACACAAGGTTAACTGAACATGGATGAAATCAAGTAAATGTTTGTATTAAATGTAAATTATTGATGTTTTCACCCTCACACCTCATAAAAACTAATAAAATTAATTAAATAATAATAAATAAAAATCTTTTTTTTTAAATTAAAATTATTTTTAAGACTAGTTAATAGGTTGCCTCCAGACCAAGTCAACCTTAAAGGAATACTTAAAAAAAAAAGAATAACTTCTGTCATCATTTACTCACCCATATGTTCCAAACCTGATGACTTTCTTTCTTCCAAGTAACCTTAAAAAGAACTGTTAATGTTATGCAAATATTAATGAAAGTCACAGGGGCTGTCAATCTACAAAATGACAAAAAAAGTGCAATAAAAGTTGTCCATGTGACTTACGCGTACATTTAAAGTCTTCAGAAGCTGTACAATATCTTTCTGTAGAAATGTAATAATCATTATTCACTCACTTGCTTATTTTGGGTTGAACTGTCCCTATAAGGAAGCCCTCTATAAACAGACTAGTTTAGGGTCTATCAGACATGTTTGTAAGAATATATGAATACCAAGCACTAGTCAACCATTCTGACCCCATTTTTTTTTTTTTTGGCCTTTCCCCTCTGGAAAGCACCCAAAAACCTTTATTTTTATTTGTAACATTTAATTTATTTTCCAAAAAAAAAAAAAAAAAGTCTTAAAGACATTAAGCCCTGAGAGGCTTTGAAGCCCCACAAATGAATACATTCAGCCAATGAAGCACTGATTCTCCAGCGTACAGCAGGTGGACTGGAGATCATGTGGATATAAAGCTCAATTTGGGCCACAAGAAAAACCAGCCAAAACTCTGTAAGTGCAAATTCAAACAGATGGAGAGCGTGAATACTGCGGACAGTAATGCTGTTCCCCCAAATGACGTCACATATATACCAACCAACACACACACACACACACACACACACAAACACACAAACACAAACACACACAAAATACAATTCATTCCTGAGTACAACATGCAGAAGCACAGAAAAAAATGCACATTAAAGCAATACATAAAGAAAGTAACAGTAATAATATACAAATGTGTTTGAGGGTCCTTGAAATTTAAATGTTCCTTATTGATTAGATGTGATTATGCCTTGTGTATATCTTAATCTTTTATACACTAAGAACTATACATTCAGATCATCTTAGAAACATTCATTATCTCTTATAGGCTCATATTCCTTTATCAAAACTTCAGCCTACAGACAAAAGTATTGATATAATACAGTTCAGTACATACAGTACGCTGTGTACTGTGATAGGCATATACAACATTTTAGTTCATATACAATGCAGAATACATACAGTAAAACATTTAATAATTCCCGTTGAGATCTATAAGATGGACGCAATATTTTTGAAAGGTACAGGCATGTTTGATTTTTAAGAACATTAAATTAAAATGTAATGTAATAAAGTAATTTCCCAGAACTTATACAATATATAGCATGCACAGTTTGATCAAAATATTTAGAATTATTTACTGGATCTAAAAAAAAAAATGAAACAGTAAGACCTCTTTTCAGCTTGCTAAAATGTGCTAAAAATTTGTCTCAAACTGTACTTTGGTGATGACAGGTAATGTAAACCTGGCAAGGATAAGGAGTAACACAAAGCTATTAATCCGGAGTCATACTCTTAACTGTCAAGCACTCTGGGCATTTTTGGATCTTGTACTATTAACATAGCAATTAAAACTTCATCTGGCAGCTCTCATCAGGTTGCAATGCTAGCAAACGCTAATAAAAACATGGTTTGAATGGCTTGTCTTTCCATATTGAAAAAAAATGGCTTAAGTAGAATAGTCCAATTGTTGTTTTATAATTCAATTAAATATTGAATAGCTTACTGACTATCTATATAGTCATAAAATAATATTTTTGGCACATATACAAAATGTTGAACAGATAATGTTGTAATTAGTAACTGAATACACATACCTACTGAGAGTCTCTTGGTTAACAAAGATCTAACTGAATTTAAACAGTGTTAAGTACTAATGATTATTAATAATAATAACAGTAACAACAACAACAACAACAAATTATTATTGTTATTATTATAATCATTATTATTAATACCCTTATGCTAAAATGAATGTCAATGCTAAAAAAATTTTTTTTACAAAACCAGTTGGCTTATATTATAAAATTTTTAGCAACATTACTTCAGTACTATAAATAGTAAAATCCAGGTGTATATTTCAAAGCTATTGAGTTTTTAATAACGAGTACGCATAAGTTTACCAGCTATATTTGATAAAGCAGGTACAAATCAGATTTTTTTTTGTTTAATGCTGCACAATCAAATTAAAAGGTGAATTTAATTCGAAAGCTGCACTTAGTGAATGAATTAGCTAAAATTGATGCAAAACCCGGGTCTATTGCTTGTTTGTATGCATGTTTCCATAAGCACACATACATCACCGAGGCGTTTGAAAGACTCCATCATCTAGAAAGCATCTTGTTTTAAGTGTCATTAATATAAGAGCAATTCACAGATTTTAAATAATAAAAAACACAAAAAAATCTTGTTCAAATATCCAAATTTGAAATATTTAGGTAATGTGTTTCAGATGAACAAAAGCACAACAAATGACACCTTCCAGATAAAAACGATATATATAGACGGCTCTGTGATATATATGTGTGCTATCAGGGGTGTGAGCGTTTGTGCAAGCAAAGGAGAGGGATAAAGTCCGTCAAAATGTAACATAATCCAAGTTAAATTAGTATTTTGAATATCCATACTTGTCACTGGTGGAAACAAACCATAACCGTACTATGTAAAGGAAGCACACAATAGGCCCTTTCCAAAAATATAGCAGTTTTCAATATCCCATGAACTATAAGCTGGACCAATTCAGATCAGAAGTGTCCAGAAAGTCTGTGGAAAATAAGCTAGAGGACTCGTGTCCATTCATGTGTACCATCCCAGGCCCCTCCCCTCCAGTCCCGCCCATTCCGAGCTCCATCCAATCCATAGGATCGTGGGCGGAGTCTATCAAATCTGAAGGCAAGTGACTGGAAAAACTCATGTCACATGTATCCATTGGGGAACGTGGGTGGTCTAGGATACTCGGTGTGCTGAGCATTTGGTTGTGGAGGTCAACAATTAGCGTCGTCGGTCCTCCTGGCTCCACTCCCAGCAAAGGTTTGCCAGTAGTGCTTTCCAGGAAATCTTCAAGACGCCCCCCTCCTGTGTCACAGTTGCGGTGTGCTTTAATTGAAGGAAGCTGAGGTTCTAAAATTAAAGTTTTGAGGGGCATATCAGGAGGACGGGAAAGACTGAGAGGGGAGGAGCTTGAGGAAAGGGGCGTGTTCGGCCGAAGCCTTTCGAGAACAGGATCAGGCGTGGTTTTGAAATTCTCAGAGATTTCTGTAGGATGCAGGAAACAAAGCATGAGTGCGAGCACCTATACACTTCTCCCATCTAAATTACTTTGAATGACAATAAATATTAAATCAAATCATCAAAAATCACCTCCACGCTGAATTAGGATGTCAAACAGGTCGTCAACCTGCTGGTGACAGCCATTCTCCTGCAAGAACATCAACATCATTAGATACGCCAACAACATGGAGAGCTACTGGGTTCTCGTTCAATAATCAGATCTTGGATCTGCTACCCGAAATCCATGAAATCATTCAATAAACAAATAAAATTTGTCCAAGTGGTGAAAAATCAAGGATTTCAACGCAAATGAATGGTCAGAAACATTAATATGAAAAGAAAACAAGTTAATCTCGCAGAGAAATTCAACAGCAGATGGAAGAGAGGTGGAGGACGAGACAGTACCTGATGACAAAGAGCTATGGGTGAACACAAGGTGGAAGGAGAGAGCAAAGCATGCTGGTCCAAATTCAAACACATCTCCTCCTGACAGACAGATATGGATGCTTATTAAAGGATTTGTTCTGTCATTATTTTCATGGAACACTAACAGATGAATTCTGATTAATTTTCATGCAGTTCATCTCCATAAACAATAGTTGACAGGAAAAAAATACGAGTAGCCCATATTATTCATGCAATATATTCCAAGTCTGAACTCCTAAATAGTAGTAGTCATTTGACCTGTTTTTGTGGTGCTTATTTGATGTTTTTGATGTCTTTGGATATTGACAGACATGGGTCACCAGAATGGGATTAAATACATAAAGGATATTTGTGTTGTTTAACATAATAATATTCTGAGTTGCATTATTTTTAATACTGAATCTGTGTTATCTGATTACGTAACTCGCGTTACTTGTAATGCGTTACCCCCAACACTGCCATTGAACTATATGAAAAAAAACTGCATGAAAGTACTCCTATTGTTCTCCACAAGAAAAAATAACAACATAAAATGACAGAACGTGATGGGAAGAAACAGGTATAAAAAAAGAGGTTGGTGAGATAAAATGACAATGTGATTAAAAAAAAGAGGAGAGGTTTTAGAGTCAGTTTATGCAGGGTTGGTGTGGATCATGATACCATGCCAAACTATCAAAACGGTTTAACAAGCATTTTGCAATAAAGGTCTTAAGATGTTAGCACAAACAAGCTGCACTCTATTAATATCACAGACCTATAAATCCGTACTCCACTAACAGAATCTGTGCCATATAGCAGTCTAGACACAACTCCTATTAGAATTCCTGCCTCGTATGACATAGATTTTGTTATTTAGCTTTAGAAAAGATTCTTGCTGGCCCCAAGACAGTCTTTACATAGAGTACAGACACAAACATAAGCTCTGCTCCAAAACCCTTTTTGTAACTCTTTCCAGCTTTACACAGTCAACAGCTCTTAATCTTAGGTGTTCTGAGATCTCTTTTGCTCGAGGCATGCTTCACATCAGGCAATGCTTCTTGTGAAGAGCAAACTCCAAATTTGTGAGTGTTTTTTGAATGGACTCCAGATTATTCATGACTCGTTAGCAATTTTTTTTCTAGTCTGCACTGCGAATGTTTACAAGGTTTGCTGTGTTCAATAAAGCCTATCATTACTTAAATACACTACCATTTAAATACAGTACCATTAGGGTTCAGTAAGATTTTAAAAAAATGTTTTTGAAAGAAGTCTCCTATGCTCACATTTATTTGATAAAAAATACAGTAAAAATAGTAGTAATATTTCAAAATATTATTACAATTTAAAATAACTGTTTTTCTTCTATTTGAATGTAATTTAATATTAATATTATATATGCAATAATATAATATAATATTAATATTATTTAAAATATTAATACATTTAATTAATTTCTGAATTTTCAGCATCATTACTCCAGTATTCAGTGTTACATGATCCTTCAGAAATTATTCAAAGAGCCACATTTTTGCAAAAATTCAGTTAAGGGAATATTAAGGGTTCTCATACATTTTTCTGCAACTGTACATGCAATGCTACATTAGAATTTGTTTACAACGATTTACATTACAAGGCACAATAATGTAAACAAAGTCTAGCACACCAGGTTTTGGAATAGATTTTTAGTATGTACACAAACAAAACACTTACGTTGTTGTTGTTGTTGGGAGATGAGGGGATGGGCTCGGTGTCGTTCATGGATTCCACTGGAGAGAAGAATGGTTGGATATTGGCTGGTGATGAGACGGATGTACAGCTTGATGATTTGTAATTGGTCGTCACATTTAGGTCTGGCTTTAGTGCCTGTCAAAGTAAAAACATGCATCTCAATTAGTCCCAATGTTAATGGGCTAATAGCTCATGCCTGCAGCCCTTTGAACACCAGTGACAATGATTAGTCATTAACATTTTAATAAGTGGGTTTAAAAGCCTCATAATTGTGTTTAATGACTTGTCAGGAATAAGTGATGTTGCTTTATACATATCATTAATTTATATGGAGGAAAGATGGCCGTTTTCTCCAAAAGTCCTTTCCTATTAGCTATCATGGAGTCTCAACACGTCCGTAGACACGATGTAACATTGGGTTGCGTACGTATATGTGGGGCGGAGCTATCAAAATAGGGGCAAGACCCTTTTGGGGTAGGGGCGTGTTTGTTTTGGTGATTTCAAATATCAACATTGGCTACCAGAAATCACTTACTCTGCCTTTAAGAGCTTAAAGAATGAATGTGGCGATTGAACTAGAAGTAATATCAGCTGTGACTAATCTTTTTCTCCTTTCATTATTTGATCAGACTGACAAAATGTAAGACATTTTTACCCCAAATCATAAGGTCACGTATGTATTCTGTATTAAGAAATGTATTCTGTTTCACACACTATTTAAAAAACAGTCTATAATGTGCAGTATGCAGCAGTATTTCATTCCAAACATCAAAATGTGTAAAAAAGTGGATTTGTACTAACCTTTTTGATTGGCTGTTTCAAAATGACAGTTTGTATGGGCTGTTCAGATTGGTTGTTACTGTTAAGCACTTCAGTCACTGATTGGTTGTGTAACATGGTGGGTGCAGACTGCAGTCTCTGAAAATGACATAAACATCAATGATTACATAATAATTGTATAGATTTTGGCAACTCTAAGCACTAAGGCACAAGTTTAATCTGTTTGGCTACTTTGCTCTGGGTGCGGCGGCCTCTGGCAGGTGCCTCTGTGTTTTGATTCGACAGTGTTAGCAGGAACTGGTTGCCATTGCTGTCGGTCACTATGGTGGGGGTGGAGTTTGGGTTCAGTACATCCACTGGGAATGAAGAAACAGGACTTGACTGCTGGTTGGTAAGTGCTTGAGGCAACTGCTGGAAAAATGGAAAAGAAGAAAGGTTAGCAAAAAATGATCCATGATTTTCTATTACAATAAAAGTTCAATGTCTGACTACTGCTGTGCCACAAACATAACCCCAGGAGGCTGCAATATAGTGCTTAGTGTCAGGGGAAAAGTTCAGGGAAAACAGTGTAAAAAATAATTTTCCTCCTAAATGTACTGTGAAAATACAGTGTCAACCAGGGTTGCCAGGTCTGCGTAACAAAACCAGCTCAACTGGTACCCCAAACTAGCCCAATCTTTCTGGAGAAAATGACAAATTGCACCAAAATCGCTCAAAAACCAGGGAGTTCCGGGAGGTCAAAACCTCCTAAAAAAACAACCCGTGGCATCAGTATAAAAACCACAAGCTTGGGAACACTAGTGTCTTAATTTTTTATTTAATTTTTAAAATATCTCTACAATCTTTTCATTTAAAAATTCTGTAATTTTGTTACATGCTTTTGTCATTTTATTAGCTTTTCTTTTTTTATGATTTATTCATTTTTTATTCTTATTATTTTTGGTTTAGTTTTGATTTATTTCCAGTAATTTTAGTGTGTAAAATTTAATCTAAGTTTTTTCTTTCATTTAAAGCTGCAGTCCGTAACTTTTTTGTGTTCAAAATTTACAAAATTGATATAATAAGCGAGTACACCATGAATCCATTTTCCAAACCGTGTTTTTGGCTTGTCCTGAATCACTACGGTACACCTATAATAAGTGTTTATATGTGGATTATTTTAGACTGGTTCGGGTAGGTACCGCTGCGGAGTAGCCCAGTACCTGCGTGATTCGCCATAGACATAAACAGAGAGATGTAGCTCCGGCAACAATGTTCTTCCGCAAGACGCACGCAGTTCTGTTTATTAACCTCTAGAGCCAAAAGTTACAGACTGCAGCTTTAATTTAATTTCGTTTTAGTTAGCGGTAGTTACCCTAGTTCATACTTTGAGAAGCTGGGTCCTTCGTAACGGGATCACGACTTAAAGCAGCAATCACTGTGTAGTTTTGGAACTGTTCTTTTAATTACTCTAATTAGATGACAATTAATCATATGATTAATCTCAAAAAGGAAATTGCATGCCGTGGAAACTTCGTACTGACTTGTTTTTGTTGGTTGTGCTGTTGTTTTTGTGTCTTCCTCTTCCTCTGATGTGCTTGTCGCTGCAGGTTGCGCTGATTCTGTTGCATTATGAGCTGCTGTTGCCGGTCCTGCTCCAGCTCTATTGTAGCCACCATCCTTTGCTGCTGCAACTGCGTCTGCGGGAATACGGGCGGCTCTGTCACCATCTCGCTGTCTTCAATCACCTCTATGACCTCTTTCTTTATGGTCGCCCTGACCGCCTCCATAGTGAAACCAGGAAGTTCATCTTTCAGTCGGACTGGCAGGCTCACCTGTTTGCCCTCCAGCTGCGAGCGCAGAGATTCGACCAGCTGTTGCTTCTGCAGCAGCATGCGTGTGAGCTCCTGAATGCGCCGGTCCTTCTCCTGCAGCATCTGGTCCTTGTCTATAGGGGGCGCTGCAGACTGGGACACCAAACAGCAGGAGGACCGAGACGTCCGGCTGCCGGGCTCCTCTTTAATGCAGATCGTGGAGGGGAGAGGAGGAGAAGGTTGCAAGGAGAGCTGGGTAAGAGGAGAGGTCACCTAGAAGGGACAGGAATGGGAAATACATAAATATTAAGAGCTATTCAGAGTACTTGAAACTCTTTGAGAAAACAGTTACAGTATATATGTGTATAAATGTAATAATTCCATACTCTGGCAATGAGCAGTTAAGATGATAGATGCAATATTATTAATAAAATAAATTGTTATCAATTATTAGATTTTCATTACAAATAAAGTGAATTTTACTTTTATTTTGCTGTTGCTAAAGTCTAGCCTAATTATTATTTTGAAGTAAACTGCTTTAATTTTTATTAATAAAATATGTAAAATATTATTATTACTGATTTTAATTAAAAACAAAGTAATATTTTCTTTTAATTTTACTGTTGCTGAAGTCCAGATTAACTATTATTTTTAAAATAAATGTATTTAAATTATAACGAATAATATAAATTATTATGTTATTATCAATTATATAACAACCAGATTTTTACTAAACATAAAGTATAAAGGATTTTCAATAAAAAATAAAGTATAAAAGATTTTATTTTTATTTTACTGTTGCTGAAATGTAACCTAACTATTATTTTGATTTCTATTATTATTGTTATTAACTATTATTTTGAACTGATTTCATTAATAATTAATTAAATATTTTTCTATTTTATTATCAACTATACAACCAACAGATTTTCTATATTTTAAAATATTTGATCAATTATTAGACCAACAGATTTTCATCAAAACTAAAGAAGGATTTTATTTTCATTTTACTGTAGCTAACGTTTGGATTATTTATATTATTACTAATAAAATCAATTATTATGTTTTCAATTGTTAGACTAACAAAATGTCATTAAAAATAAAGTAGAAAGTAGCCTAAAGCCTGAGGCTCACATCTGAATGGTTTTTGGTGAGTAAACACTCAGAGGTGACAAGCAGCTTTGACACATGCAACAGCCTCTAGCTGCTGTGGTGCAGTGCTTCACTGGTCGCTTCCACAGCAGACACAGGGTAAGCTTATCTGTAAATGCTACTTTTTACACACTTGATAACGGTTCACAGTTGCTTATCCTTCAGTTACCTATTTTTATTAGTGTGAAGACTAGCAGTAAGAAAGCACAGAAGGAGACATTTACCATTTCCCCAAAAGCATCCCCATTACAGCTTGTTTCATCTGGGCTCATTCCAGTCCATGAGCGCTCTGAGTGGGCGGGGGAAACCGGAGGGGAGGAGCTAGTGCTGCCAAACTGCATTATCTGAGACGCTGTCGTCTGAGCTCCACCCCTTTCTGCAGTTGCTACAAATGGGAAGGAAGCAACCACCACGCTCCTGTCTGCTGATTGGGTGGAGGAAGAGACTCCTCCCAATACAGGGGTTGATGATGTGTTGGTTTTAGAAGATGCTGGTGCATTGGTGCCACCATTCTGCCCGTGAAAATTCTTCAGCCGTTCAATTAGGTCATTTTTGGCGCCTGAGACGGTTAAGCCTCGCACTTTTAACTCCTGCTTCAGCTCTGCAACCTGCAGGAAATGAAGAGAATGACAGGATGTGAGAGGAGCTCATCTGACTCTCAGTCAGTGATCAGTACTGAAATTCAGAATTATCATCATAGCAGGGGATTCAACCTTTAGCTCATCCAGGTTGGGAGGCAGAGGCCCTATTTTAATTGCAGTGATCTGCTGATTCTGGCCAGTCAGATTAGTGGATGTTGATTGAGGGGGCATGCTATTTTTGGATGGCGACGGGCCATTGGCTGAGGCAGGCTGCTGATCAGCAGGAGGCCTAAGTAAAGTGTAAAAAAAAAAATAATTAAGATAAGATTTTGTACATACAATTCTATAAAAGATTTTTTAAATGTAAATTATAATTTTCTTTTCATCAAAGAATCCTGAAAACATGTATCATGGTTTCCACAAATAATAAGTAGAACAACTGTTTTCAACATTGACAATAATAAGAAATGCTTCTTGAGCATCAAATCAACATATTAGAATGATTTCTGAAGGATCATGTGACATATTAAAACAGAAAATAGTCATTTTAAATAAATGTATTTTTGGTCAAATAAATGCAGCTGTGGTGACCATAAAATATTTATTTCAAAAACATGGGGAAAAAAAAGTATTTGTTTAAAAGAAATACATTAAAAAATTATATACATTAAAAAAAAATATATATGTATACATATATATATGTAAACAATGCAGTTGATATCTGGCATGTCTTACTTGGGTGGAGCAGGCAGGATGGTGTGGTAGTTGTAGTTTTGCTGCTGTTGGTTGATGATCTGCAGCTGGAGGAAGAGCTGCTGTTGATAGAGGAGTTTGGCATAGGAGGAGTCGAGCAGAGGTGGAGGCTCACGCTCGGCTTTCTGGTCCGGAGGAATATACTGGTGATACTTCAGCTTCTTCACTTTTGGTTTGTTATCTCTCACCTTCTTAAAGCGCTGAATAGGGCGCTCACTACCCACTTTACCACCCTAAAGGAGACAGAAAGACAAGAGAATTTATCTTGTGGCATTATTTCATGTGTGCAAAAAATTGCAATTCCAGCTGTCCTGGGTTTAATGAGGAACTCTCACCTTTTGTAGTGCAGGAGCTTGCTTGTGGCCTGTTGTTCCATTGGCTAGTTTCTGCTGAGGGGCAGGACCAGCTGTGTTTGGCAGCGGTGGAGGAGGAGGAGGAGGCGGGACCTAAGAAAATCCGGAGAAGCACATGAACTTGAGGAACTCCATCATGTTTGCGTGACTGCATTCAGAGAGCACAGGCATGTGTGTGTAAACGCGACTACAGGACCAAACCATTAATGTGTGCAGATGATCAAGTGTGATGCTTGTTAGCATAAGCGCATGTGAACTTGTCTGTGTGGATGTGGAATGAGCTGAATGAAGATCTGCAAATAATTCAGGGCTCTTGAGAGCTGACTGAGCACGAGGAGCTACACGAAGACTTCAACAAAGTGTGTGATATTCTGATGAAGATTATTTCTTTATTAACCTTAGAGGGGATTTACGGAAACTGCCAAGATTTGTACAGGTTTAGTTAAAAGTGGAGACCACCTGTTTGAGACACTCAGTTCACATTCTGTGTGTTAAAAGTATATATGTTATTGGTGATGGGAAAAAAAACATACTTTAGACATAACACTGATACTGTTTGAAGTATTTTATTAATGTTATTATTTTGAATTAGCTTTTATTTTTATATTTTCAGTTTTCATTTAAATTTTATTTTAAGGTTTAGTCATTTTGTCATGTCCTTTTGATTTTTTGAGACTTCTATTTAACTTTTTATTTCAGTTTTTAGTAATTTTAGTACTTAAATGAAAATCAGAAAATCACTGGCAATTACAAATGCACTATCAACTGAAATGAGTTAGTTAAAAATTAAATATAAATATTATATGAAAAATATTTGATAAATTCTTAATCTAATTTTTAATAAGCTTTATTTTCAAATAACAAGAACTACTTCTAATGGTTTTAGATTTAGTTAAAAACGATACTGACTGTTTGCATGTTAGTGTTAAAATTGAGCTAAATTCATCACCTTCGTTCATAATAACTGGATTAGTTAGTTTAATTTTATATTACCATACATGATGTATATTTGATACATACATGATGAACATCTTGCATTAACTAAAAAAAAATTCTATGACTTTGAGGTCTAAAAATTATAATTTAAATTTTTTTTACAAAAATTTTTTTTTTAAGTACGCAAATTGACATACAGCACCTGTTTTGGTGTTGTTTCATTGGCCAGTATCTCAGGTGGGGAAGGTAAGTGTCCTTGGCCGAGGGGAGAGTCCTGGTGGAGTGTCTGCTCCGGTGAGAACGCGTCACTGCTTTCCTCGTCAAATGAAGAGTTCTCCGCTTCTACTTTTGGAAACTCTGTCTCTGAGGGAGAGAAAGTGTAAAAAAACAAAAAGAAAAAGAAAAGGATGGTTAAAATACAACATTCAAGATTTTCATTTTCTCAAGAAAGCATAAGTGAAGTTTACCTATGCAAACCTCGCTGCCACAATGTCAAGGTGTTGCTACGCAATTGCTAAGGTATTCTGAGTGGTTTTTAGCATGTTAATATGTGGTTGGTTACAGGCTCATGTTTTGTTCATTTTCAGTTTATTTTTATTTTTGCATTTTAAAAAGGGGTTTATTTTCAGCATTGTATTTTGCGTTCTTTTCTGCCAGGTGATTGCCTAGTCAAGTAATAGTCCACCTCTCTTTAACAAACTGCATGAATTAAAATAAAATTTTTGCCCACAGCTCAAACATATGGGACTTAAATAATTAAAATGAAAAAAAATAAAATAATGAATGAATAAAATGAATGAATGAATGAATAAAAAATGTGGTGGCAATAGTAATAGTCAGTCATCTTAAATAAGAAAAAATAAAACAACATGAAAGAAACCTCTGATCTTTAGTGCACTGCTTCTCTATTTCACTTACGCTGCACTAATATTGTCCCAGAGTGAATAATAAAACCTTTAAACTCCAGTGCATGCTATTTATATTTAATTTGAGTGAGTTCTGAGAGAGTGGCATTATGCCGATAATCATTAACTCTCTAATTAGGTTATTTAGGGATTAAAACAGTTTAAGTCGTTCTGTGCTTTCAGCATTCCTTCACTGTGCTGCATTGTGTGACGCTGCATTAACTTCACGGTTAATCAACTCATGCCACCACAGAGTGGCGTATTCTGTATGAACACGAATGTAAATTCCCCTCTAATTAATTTAACTTGATGTTTGACGCACACCAATCACATTACCATAACTCTGCATTAAATTATCACCCACTGCACTGCTGCAGGAATGTGGCAGGATATAAATATGAAGATGAATGCACACACACCGCTAATGATGCGCTGGAATGAGCGCCTGCTTATGGATGTAGATTGAGGGGAAATAGGGAATGATCCAGAGGAAATGTTGAGTGAGAGGAATATACATGCAAATGTTAGCAGCCATAGGAGTATTAACATGGGAGTTAAAATGGAGCTTAAAGGGGTCATATGACGTTGCTAAAACAGAACATTATTTTGTGTATTTGGTGTAATGAAATCGCGTTTTAGGAGGGCGTGGACAAGTCTTAACTTTTATAAAGAATATCTCTTTGGGTTTGAGACTTTAGTCTTTGCAACTTTAGGGATCTTATCTATTCACGAACAGCTTGTAACACTCCAAAGAGAAAGGAAAACTTGAAATCGCATCATATGAACCCTTTAAAACAAACGTTGATAAAGAGACAAATAGGACGATTGAGGAGACATATATATATATATATATATACTGTATATATATATATATATAGACAGATAAAAATTCAGATGGGTTGCGTATGTTGAGTATAAAATGGAGTGTGAAAGTTCAATAAGTTATGGCTTAAATAAATTATCTTAAAGTTTTGTTAAACTTATACTCAAAACTGACTGGTGGGCAGATATATTTTCTTAATGCTCAATTTTTGTGACTGATATAATGCTACTATATTTAAGTCTGCAACAACTAATCAATGAAATTGATATTGAGCTTCTTTATAATAAATGTAAATATTTACAATAAATTACATTATCACCATAATTGTTTTTTAAAAAATTCAATATAATTTGACATACAATATATAGACAGTAGTTAAAATTAAAGTAAGTTAATAAGAAAAATTAATTAATTAAACTGTACCGACACAAGGGGGAACTACTACTCCTGTTAAACAGCAAACTGTGGAGAAAATTTTACTGTAGTGTGTATACTATACCGTGCTTCTTGCTTTAATTTAGTACCTATGATGGCTTGTTTGAGGCTGCTGTGCACTGGCAGGATGTTTTTGTGAATGAGCTCCATCGGACCGGGCCGCTGGGAGATTTTGTCATTCAGATCATCGGCTAGTCGAGCTCGTTTCAGCAGAAGCTGCTTGGCCTGAAGAGACGGCTCTGCTGACGTCTCTGTAAAGAGGAAATACACACAGTTAACAAAAAACACAGGCATCATGAGCCGGATCACTTTGTTCACTACATGTACCTCAGTTTATATTGTACTTCTTTTTAAAATAAACATTTGGACCACACTTTAAATGAATTTATTTAAAGCACAGGCTGCGTTCCATAATCGCATACTTCTCTACTATATAGTAGGTGAAAAACAATATGCAAGTAGTATGTCCGAATTCACAGTATTTATAAAACAGTACAAAATCCCCACATTACCTACTATTTCCAGTGTGATTTTGAAAATATGCATACAATGGACACTTTACTGCTAGGATTCATGAACGGCAGTGATTCAACTGACACTGGTAGGTCACATATGGACGAATGTAGTGCATCCAGATTACAGTCATACTATACGCATTCATACTATATAGAACATACATTTTAACAGTCTCTAAGTAATTGCTTGTTCCAAAGAAGTGCCAACTCAGAGAGTGTGCGATTTCAGACGCAGCCATAGTCTTCAATCATAGTCTCTCTCTGAGGTGTGTGTCAGTGTTTGAACTGCAGGGGGCGTTATTAAAATACTCACCTTCAAGAATGTGCATCCTGACCAGTTCTGATCTCTCTGGACGACTGCGGATCTTTCTCTTCAGGTAGTCCTCGGTCTGAGATACAAGAGGAAAGTATGAGAAATAAAGGGAGTTTATTTTGGCTTCGTTAGGAAGAGAAGATTAAAAAAAAACAATCCGCAGTGAAGGACTAACCCGAGCTCGTTCTAAACTTCGTCTCTGCTCATGAAAGGATGCAGAACTTTTCAGTGCTGGAAGGAAAAAGATATGAAGAGATAAGACGATTAAATCCAAAGTTGATATATAAATGTATAAAGTTTCTCCCTTTAAAAAAAGAGCTGTGAGAACGGAAAACATTTTTCGGTAAATGAGAAAAATCATAAATAGCAAACTCGTTATCTGCGTCATGCAGATTACAGGAAACATATTTGTTGCAGTGTGGTGCAAATACTTTTCAGCTTTTTTTGGATCGGGTGAAAATTTTATTTTTGTATTAAAAAAAAGAAAGATTCAGAGAGAAAAAAAGATGCTTGTTAAAAGACCTTGATACAGGAACAACATATTAAACTGCATCTCTTTACCCCAGGCACACATACGCACTGGTAAATGCAAAATCTAAAAATAATATCGCAACAGGCACATCCGAGAGACAGTTTAATCCAGCAGGTTCACAGTCTTGAGTGTGTGTTTCTGCCCCATATTTAATACACCTTGAAACACAGCTTCACAGTTGTCAGCACACTCCGTCTCCAGAGACTGAAAGCAAAGCCCGCTGGTGAGAGAGACAACTAGAGATTTATGAAAATTTGTGAACGGTGCTTGGCCATGCAAAAATCTGGATGGTTTTCTCAACAGTCTGTAAAATGATCCCCTCTCTAAATAACTAATTAATTCAATTATATTGTACTACATTATAATAAATTAAAGTTAAATAAAAAATAAATACAGAAATATAGCAAATTTCATTGTGTGTGTGTGTGTGTGTGT